CGCGCGCCAAAAGTCCGGGCCCTTGGAAGGGTTGTGAGGCGTTGGCGCACCGAGACTCTAGAGAGCTGGCACTATTTCGGCTGTCGTCAGGATCCAGTGTCTGTGAGGGCTCGGGAATCTTGAGCAATAACGTGATTTTCCTGAGATATCTTTAGAGGATCCGTGCGGATTGACATCATAAGACGCCCCAACACCTACAAGATAATGGAGACAATTAAGATTGACTGTGACTAATAAAGTTTCTTATTTGTTAAGCATCTGCCGTGTCACTTCCTGTGCCTCTTACAGGTTGTACCTTTAGTTCAGACACTACCCTATGGGACAGATGGGTACCGTTGAGACTCCGGTAGAAGGAATCAGGGTTCCAGGTGGAACTGAACCCACTAAGTAGATTGACAGAAAAGTGCCTCAATCTTCCTTTTGCTTTTAGTTTGTGATTTCTGGGATTTATTAGAGTCCATTTTTGGTCACTAGACGGTTAGTCTCTAGTGCCTTCTCTTAGCTACAGCCTTGACCCTTGGATGGTGACAACTACTTTACATAATGCCATTTGGTCCCAGTTTTCTGTGGAGTTTTGCTTGGCCAGATTTTTGAATTGTTAATAGTCAGGAGTTGATTGTGTTCTGAGTAATCAACACAATGTGTATTCATTCACAATAAACACTGGTTATTTTTTTGTTTCTTTACAACAGAATGAAGATTTCACATTCTTAAATAGAAGAAACAGCTTAAGTTTTATTTATTTATTTTTATTTTATACATGTGAGTGTTTTGCCTGCATGTATCTGTGTGTACCACGTGGGTGCCTAGGGCCAATGGAGGGCCACCAGATTTCCTAGACCTGGAGTTAGATATGGTTGTGAGCCACCATATGGATGCTGGGAACCCATCCTGGGTCCCATATTAGGCTAGTAGTAGTTTCCTAAGGGCAGGACTTGTTTTCTTGGTTGTATTCATGTATTGCCTTGCTTCTAGTTCGTTGAGTGAAATTAGCGTTCAGTGAAATAGGAACTGTGGTATAGAGTAATGAGCACCTAAGGATGGATTGAAGGCTGTTGACCAGTTTGTGCTTCTACTCACTAGTACTTCACCAACACTCAGTTACTCTCACTTTGTCTGCTGTGTCCTTGCTACTGGCCATCTTAATTGGACTTCTAGAATCCTAAACCCAAATGCCAAGTAGATAATACACAGGAATGAATTGATCCAGGTATTAAAGAAGAAAAGAAAACCAGGAAGCAATGACGATAAAAGGAGTATCACTGGCAGTGGTGGAGAAAGTGAATTTGGAGTGACCAGTACACCCACCCCTCTTTTTTGGTTTTATGCCTCACTGGAAGCCCAGGTTGGCCTGGAACCCTTTATCCTCATGCACACACACACAATAAATTACAACAAAATTCCCCATTTGTTTGAAAAAGACCTATTTAAAATTTATTTGTTGGGGCCAGAGAGATAGCTTAGCAGTTAAGAACAAATATTATACTTGTAGAGGACCTCAGTTAGGTTCCCAGCACCCAATTCTGGCAGCTTATCTCTCCCCGACCCCGCTTTACCACCATATTCATTGGAAAAGGAGTGAGGTATAAATATGGAATCAGATTCAGTTTTATGTTTTTGGCGTGGGTACTTAAGCTGGTGCTGTATGGGACTGGGATGTAGCTTCGTGGTAGAGCACTTGCTTCATGTTCCAGACACTGGGTTTGACCCAGTGCTGAAAAAGTTTACTTACCTCATGGATGGTGCTGTGGGGTTGGGGGCCATTATAGATTCCTAAATTCAAACGTGTTTTAGGGTCCTGCTGCTACAGTAACACAACCCCATAAATTTCATGGCTAGAGAGACCACACTAACCTAACCCAGTGGTTTACTATGTAGAGTGGAATCAGAGAAGAGGAAGGCAGGGGGTTTTCAAGCCAGAAGCAGATATTTATTTGTTTGTTTGTTTGTTATAGCAAAGTCTCATTCTGTAGCCCTGGCTGTCCTGGAACTTGATGTGTAGAACTAGGCTGGCCTCACACTCAGAGAGATCTGCCTGTCTCTGCCTCTGCCTCTGCCTCTGCCTCCTGAGTGCTGGGATTTTTTTTTTTTTTTTTTTTTTTTTTTTTTAAGACAGTCTTTGTAGCCCAAGCTGGCCTCAGTTTCCTGAGTGCTGGTATTGTAAGACATGTGGCACCAATCTACAAAAACATTGCTTCTTAATTGGGTGTTTATTTTGAAATTGAGAAAAGATTTTTATTTGTGGTATGGCTACCAATACAGTAGTAAGACAACATGCTGCTCTGTTTGCATTTATTCAGATGTTTTTCTGCGATTTTTTTTAAAAGACCATTTGATTACCCTAAAACTGATAATTCATGTAAACAGAACAAATGAAGACTTCATTCTTGGGGTGGGGTGGTTCGAGACAGGGTTTCTCTTTGTAGCCTGGCTCTCCTGGTACTCATGCTGTAGATCAGAGTGGCCTCAAGCTCACAGAGATCCACCTGTCTCTGCCTTCCTAGTGGTGGGATTAAAGTTGTAACTTTTTAATTAGCGATTCTCAGTGTGCTGAATTTTTTAAACATTTATTTCTATGTAATATATGTGTTTCATTTTTACTTATAAGCTCCTTGTTAGCTTGCAACTATAGTATCTATTCACTTAGTTGTACTTCTTAAAGTTGTGACTCTTCCTGCTCAAATACTGCCTCAAGGATCCCTACAGTGTGTTGTCATCTCAGCTTCAAAAGCACACCTCCCAAGCACAAAGCTCCTGCTGGCATGTCAGGCCACAGTACCGGTCTTTGATTAGCCTGTGGGTGACCTCTCTTAGGTCGTCACATACCCTTCAATTGGCTCAGGTACAGTTTGAGTGGAGGTAGGAGAAATGAGGACTTTGTGTAGTACAGTTGGACCACTACATGTGGTATGTGGTGATTGCCCTGAAGGATCGTGGTGAATATACAGTGCTTGTTTTTGTTTGTTTTGAAATAGGGTCTTATCTATCCCAAATTGCTGCAAACTTTGTAGCTCTGTGCCACTGTGACTGTTTTATGTGGTGCTAGGGATAGACCCAGGGCCTCATCGTACATGCAAGGCAAGCACTCTGCATCTCCATCCCCATCCCTTTTTGGAGTGGGATAGGAGGTAGAGCTGAGGGTTGAATCTGGTAGACGAGCATTTTGCCATTGAGTTGTGTCCCCCAGTTCTCATAAGTTACCTTTTAGGCCTTTGACTTGCAAACCTCCTGCCTCAACCTCCCAAGTATTAGTAGGCCTGTGCCACCAGACCAGCCTATGCTTGGATGAACCTTAAGGATTCATCCTGCTGAGAACATTTTAATGTCCAGTGAATGTACCTAGTGCCTATGTTATAGATCTGTGTTTTTCTTGTGTTTACCCGTCTCTTAAGATAAGCGGTAAGTTCTTTGAGTAGTGTGTGTATCCCATTGCATTGCTGTGTCCAGTATAACGCCTAGCACATGGTAGAATTAACAAAAGAAATGAGTGAACAGATAAGTGGTTACCTCACTTCCTCATCTGTGATCCCTCCCTTTCACTTCACTCTCTCACCTTTACTTTAGCCATACTGAGTCTTTCAGATCTTTAAATATAATGTTGTTGTAAGTTGGTCCATTTCTCAGCTTTGGGGCACCTCCTATGTGCTTTCATTATACACTGCTTGACAGGATAGCCTTCTTGGTGTAATGTGGTACTTTTTGATCTCCATAATGTCTTATCCATCCCCCCAGCCCCTACCTGATGATATGGGATGTTTTAATGGAGGGTTCTAGCATTCTGTTTGTGATTCCTCTATTAATCCAAAAATATTTCTTTAATATTTTTGAATGTTAATGGTCTATGAGTTAAAGTCCATGAATTGTAATGAGGAACAACAAAGATAAAACATAAAAGAAGATGGAAAAAACCTGATTTCTGGTAGTGAAAAATATTCTTAAAAGTCAAACAATAAGGGAGGAAGTGATTGGTGGGCAAGGACTATTTAAGTGGTCAGGGAAATCCTCTGGGCAGCTAGTCATGGGTGTGTGGTGTGTGTGTGTGTGATTCTCATGCAAAGACTGCTGTTTCAGACACACTTTGTGTTGAAAATTTCCAGTTGCCTACCTTATCACTCTCTTCCCCACTCATTGCACAAAATGAGGCTGAGGCGTCTGTCCTTAGTAATAGACTATAAAGTCTTTGCTAGGAGTGTCCCCTCGCCATCCATAGTCTATATAGAGATTGCCTTGTTACTTCAGGTCCTAATAAAACCTGTTGTAGGAACTGATGGTCCTAAGTGTAGGAACTGCAGACGTGAACACACAGGCTGAACAGTGATGAGATAGCATTTGTAATACAGTTTCCAGGTTTTTCAGGTAATGATTATATTTCTGGTGTCTATACTGAGAACATTTGTATTGTAGAGGAAAACAATGGCATACTTGTTGCTTATTTCTCAAAGAAGCTTCTCTTTATCAGTAACTACCATGGAAATTGACTCTTTACTTGGGCTTACCTTTTTCTTTGCATAAAAACATGGCTCTTTAAAATTGATATTTAATGTTACTGTTATCAGTGGATTAAGACCAGGCCATTAACTAGATGGTTTGTTTCAGAAGGCCATTTGATTGCATTACAGTCAAGTTTCTTCTTGTATTATATACAAATCTTCTAGCTTTTACTTAAGCCATGGCCTGGTATTTCCTTCTTCATAAAAGTTAAAGGATAGTGTTTCTTCACTGAACTCTTTATTCGGTGATCAGTTGTCTATATAGCTTTGCGTCTTCTGAACTTTAGAAAGGGGGACTGCTTAGATTTTGAAATCAGTGATAACTTCTGAAGACTGTCCAGGTTTTAGAAACAGATTGTAAAGATGACCTGGAGGGGTGCA